AAGCTCCCGGTTTTATATATTCTTCCGAAAATTCATAAGGATCTCACTACTCCTAGGAGGCCAATCGTGAGTGGCATAGGTTCATTATGTTCAAGAATTGGACAATACATCGATTTTTTTCTTTCAACCATTAGTATCCCAAATGCCAGCTTTTCTAAGAGATACCAAACAAATGCTTAATGATATTAGGGATTTGTCCACTACTCCTCAAACTTTTTTGGTAACTGCTGACGTATCCTCCCTGTATAGTAATATAGCACACAAGGATGGATTAGAAGCCGCAGAATACTATCTACGCACACACAGCACTTTATCCTCTATACATATAGATTTTTATTTTAACTTTACTTAATTTCGCCATTAACAATAACTACTTCTGGTTTAACCAGAAATATTACCTTCAGATAAAGGGCGTAGCGATGGGGGCAAAATTTGCCCCCAGCCTTGCTAATCTGTTCATGGCACATTGGGAGGAGATGTTAATTTTTTCCAGGGAATGGCCTGAACTCGCTTTTTATAGACGCTACATTGATGACGTCTTCCTACTTTGGAATGGGGAAGAACAATCTCTGATCAATTTCTTTTCCACTCTTAACCACAATGACCTTAATATTGAGTTTTCTTACAGCTACAGTATAAAGGAAATAAGTTTTCTTGACCTAACATTGGTCAATTACCAAGGTGGAATAGTGACTAAAACGTTTTTTAAAAAAAACAGACCGTAATGGTTACATACCCAAGAATAGTTGCCATCACCCCAGATGGCTGGCTAACATTCCTAAAGGGCAGTTCATTCAGTTACGTAGGAACTGCACTGATTTAGAAACGTTCCATGAACAATCCGAAATATTAAAAAAAACAGATTTCTAGAAAAAGGTTATGAACCACAAATTCTGGAGAACACTATTGACTCTGTAGCACATCTAAACAGGAATGACCTCCTGATTGATAAACAGAAGCCTAAAAAAAGCCACGTATGTCCGTTTGTTACGACATTTTCGAGACCATATAAAGAAATTAACCATATCATTTATAAAAACTGGAAGATTTTAAAAGCTGATCCAGTACTCGCCAATATATTACCAGAAAAACCAGAGATTGTTTTCCGTAGGGCGACCAGCCTACGCCACTATCTTGCACCAAACGTAATAGACCCTCCCAAAGAGATCTCCTTATTTAAAGACCTGAATGGCTACCATCCATGTAATAAATGTATAGCTTGTAGATGTGATAATACTAGAAAATATAAACAAACCACCTTTATGTCACACATAACGGGGAATACCTATAATATTAACAAATTTATTACTTGCAATAGTAAATTTGTCGTCGACTTATTCGAATGTCCGTGCAAGTTGCAATGTATTGGACGTACCACCAGGAGACTAAAAGATAGGCTACGGGAACATGTCAATAACCTAAAACGTGGATACAGAGAACATTCGGTTTCAAATCATTTTAGGAGGTTTCATAATAAAGACCCTACCTTACTTAAATTTAAAGGCATAGACCTAATCAAACCTCACTGGAGAGGAATGCACAAAAAAAGAGCTGTGTCACAATTAGAAATGAAATGGATATATGAACTCCATTCTTTACAACCTAACGGACTCAATATAGAGGTAGACATTAACTGTTTCATAGAAAACAGCTAGTTGAGTCATTACACATTTTACTCATTCATTATCCTAATCACCAATCCTCTGTTGTTCTCTATGATGAATGAGCACAATTTATAGTTCTTCTTCACATCATCTTTATCATTTTACGGTTATGTCAGTGCTATACATATGTGTGTATTTTTATACATATATATGTATTTCGCTCATCCATTCACAATACATTTTTAATGGTTTTATACTGTTTTTATATTATGGTTCGAGCAGTTTTGAGTCTTTTTAGAAAACCAGATACTTTGTTTTCTGGCTTTTTTGTCTTCTATCCAATACCTCACATTCATATGTAAGGAACTGTTTTTATTCATTTTTACATCCTCGTGGGCCATATGATGTTATACCACTTCTATGTAGCATTTAGCCTATATGTTGTACTAGAAATTGGTTGATACATATTATTTATTATCTATCATTTGTATTGATATACATGGATTTTATTTGATTGTGATTCTATTATGGATTTTCTGATTCGCACATGCGCATTAACCCTAGCTGTGTTTTCCATATGTAATAATTATCATCCTTAAAACTCCCTCTTTGTTGCTTATAGATTAAGCTATTATTCATAATAACCCATTATTTCTGCTACGGTATGCTTATTATCATAGCGGAAACATAGAATGTCCTTATCCATTTTTTGCTCTATAGCACTGGTGTTATATCCTTTGCTTTGTACATTTTCAGTACATTCTAGCAGTGAATATACAGACATTATGCCTGTATTGTTCATTCACCCGGGGAGACCAAGGGAAAATGGCGCGCGTCTATCCTCGCCTGCGCAGTTCGTTCTGCATGTCGCCAGTCAGGCTACACCTTATTGCGCATGTGCGTACTTCCACATAAGTACGAGCGACGAACGGCATGGCGTGTTTGGCAACCCCCCTCTGAAGACGTGCTGGAGCACGACACACGTAAGGAGGAGCCATAACACACCGTGAAGTCACGTCGTCAGAGCAACGCGGAGCTCTGGCGGCCATCTTAACTATTCAGACGGTTAGTTGTGATCAATAACTGTCTGCAACGTTTTTATGCCTATCTTCAATAAACCCTATTTTGTTACCAACTACTACACTATGGGAGTATCTTTGTTACCCCCTGGGGGAGCACTCTAATTTGCAGACCTACTCCTGGATACACCGGAGGGACCTGGACCAGACCTTACACTAGGGGGATCCCTAAAGGGGAGAGGATCATCAGCCTCACATACAGCTGAGGGAGGACCACCCATTACCGGATGACATCTGGATCATATACATACAAAGGCGCATATTTTATGCGGGTCTGGTGAGTGCGCATTGCTTTATCACATACGTGCACGAATACCAGGACCAAGTCACCTGATCACCTGAGCACCCATTCTCTTACATCTATTTGCAGGAGGACTTTTTATACTGATTGATTATTTGTGATTTTCGTTAAATGTTTAGCGCTGCACTTTTATATTTTTATTTTGATATTAACCACTTGCCTACCAGGCACTTATACCCCCTTCTTTACCAGGCCAATTTTCAGCTTTCAGCGCTGTCGCACTTTGACAATTGCGTGGTCATGCAAGATTGTATAAATCAAAAAAATGTGGCACTACTCATAAAACTTAAAAAAATACTAATCAAAAAAAATATATATAACACATACAATACACCTCGTGAGATGAATATACATATAATAATCAAGTGGTCATAGTGATCAAAAAATATATATTAAAACTAATATCATAAAAAAACATAGTGTATAAATACTGTGTATTAACAATCTTGTGAAAAATTCTAACACATGAAAGCAATAAATGATTGTAATAATTAAACTGTGATCAATCATGCAAATAAGGTGCAAAAAATGTCACACTAAAACACACAAATGAAAATAAAAAAATGTGTAAACAAATGTCCAATGGGTGGGTGACACCACTACTGCAATTGCAAGCACACGTGATCATAAAGTGACTTCAGGTGCAGAAACTCCAACACACGGCTAGATTAGCCTCTCACCTCCAGGCTTCGACCTGTGAAGGTCAAAGCGTATAGTGGGATCAAACCCTCAAATCCTCTCAGGATCTACTGATATCCACTGATCCACTTTCCCCATCCATAGATATCCTTCTCTAGGGGTCGATAATCAAGCAGTGGCTCCTCTTATGGGGTATGGGTATGTGCCAAAAAAATAAACACAATCTCCCATAGTGTAGCAGGTAAATTTAATGAAAATCAAACCATAAACATATGGAGACAACTCACATCCGTCCTCAAAGATGACAGCTTTACAACCCTATGCTTTTGGGTGTAATCTGCATGGGTGTACAGGAATCAAAAATGTGCACCAAGATGGCCACCACGCCGGAAGTGCGTCACCACGTCAGGCCTATGACGTGCTTGCAATTGCAGTAGTGGTGTCACCCACCCATTGGACATTTGTCTACACATTTTTTTATTTTTGTTTGTGTTTTAGTGTGACATTTTTTGCACCTTATTTGCATGATTGATCACAGTTTAATTTATTACAATCATTTATTGCTTTCATGTGTTAGAATTTTTCACAAGATTGTTAATACACAGTATTTATAAACTATGTTTTTTATGATATTAGTTTTAATATATATTTTTTGATCACGATGACCACTTGATTATTATATGTATATTCATCTCACGAGGTGTATTGTATGTGTTATATATATTTTTTTTTTGATTAGTATTTTTTAAGTTTTATGAGTAGCGCCACATTTTTTTGATTTGTATTTTTTTTTAGATCATGGGTATTTGATGTAGTGTTGGCGGCTTCTCTCTTTAGTTGATTGAATACAATTTTTTGGTGTTTAGTAGTGTGGGAGGTTCACACCATCCCTGTTGGTTCATATTATTTTTCATATTTTATATTTTTTGGTTATTCATTAGCGCAGGAGGTTCACACCATTCATGCAAGATTGTACCCATATTAAATTTTTATCATTTTTTTCTCACAAATAGAGCTTTCTTTTGGTGGTATTTACTCGTCGCTGGGTGTTTTACTTTTTGCGCTATAAACAAAAAAATTGCAAAAATTTTAAAAAAAAAAAAAAACAAAAAAAAGTTTCTATTATAAAATTTTGCAAACAGGTTATTTTTCTCCTTCACTGATGTGCGTTGATGAGGCAGCACCCGATAGGCAGCACTGATGGGCACTGATAGATGGCACTGATAGACAGCACTGATGATGGGTACTGATAGACAGCACTGATAGGTGACACTGACTGGCATCACTGCTGGGCACTGAATGGCGGCACTGTTAGGCATTGACTGGCGCAACTGCTGGGCACTGACTGGCACAACGGCTGCTGACTGGCAGCACTGCTCGGCTGCACTGGTGGGTGGCACTGGTGGACACAGGTGAGTGGCACTGGTGGGTGGGCACAGGTGGGTGGCACTGCTGGCACAGGTAGGTGGCACTTCTGGATAGCACTGCTGGGTGGCACAGGTGTGTGGCACTGCTGGGTGGCACAGGTGGTTGCACTGCTGGGCACAGGTGGTTGCACTGTGGGCACAAGTGGGCGGAAGTGGTGGGTACCGACTGCTGGGTACCGATCATCAGTGCCCTGATCATCGGTGCTGATTCCTGCTCTGACAGCTGCCGGTTCTCGGCAGTACTTTCCTCACGATCTGACAGCGTGAGGAAAGTGCAGCCGAGAACCAGTAATTGCATTTCCCTGTGATCAGCGTGTCATTGGACATGGCTGATCACGTGGTAAAAGGCCGATGTGATTGGCCTTTTACCACATCACGTGATCAGCTGTGTCCGTAGGACACAACGATCATGGTGATCGCCGGGTGCTGCACCCCCGGGGGAGCGCAGGAGAGCGCGTTCTGGGAGGACGTCATATGACGCCCTCCCAGAACTGGCCGGCCGCAGTGTAACCATCATTTGGCTATCTGTGGTCGGCAACTGGTTAAAGGTACATTTTTATTTATGTATTTATTTTAAATAACAAACATGTTATACTTACCTGCTCTGTGCAATGGTTTTGCATAGAGCAGCCATAAACCTCCTCTTCTTGTGGCCCCTGTTGGAGCTCCTGGCTCCCCCCCCCTTGCCTGCTGAGTGTTTGACAGCAGTGGGAGCCAATGGCTAATTTTATGGGGGATCACAGCTGAACAATTAAGACATAAGAAATAGAAAAATTAGCTTCTCTACATTGGTGTGCGAACGTGAGACCTTTTACTGTAGATATAAATATATTTAAAGGTGGACATAAAGGAATTGAATGAGTGGATCAGCGAGTACATTGGGATTGGAGAGGTGTTGGAATGGATATTAGAAAGTCTCAGTGGCTTCATTAAGGCCATCAAGAAACATTGAGCCTATAAACTCAAAACGTTTTATGTAACTTGTTCTATACATTATCTAATTCTATAAATCTTTAAATTCAGGGACCTCATCAATAATTATAGCTTTAAGTAGATGGTAATCTTAATTATTTTGTGTCAGGAAATGCCTCGCCAATGTTCTTTAAACCTAATATAATGTTTTGACTGATGTTCTGAAGTCTGTCGAAAAAAGTCCTGAATTGTTCTGCCAACATACTGCATTTTTATAGTTTATTACACTGGCCCTGATTTATTTATTTCCTGCCTTCCACTCAGATTAATTCTTTGTGATTGTGCCCGCCATTGGAAATCATGGGGCCACATACAACCTATCTGATAGGGCCCCTTTGTCTCTACATGAACTTTAAATTAAAACTAATATTTAAAAACTGTGAGCAGAAGGGCTCTTTCATGCAAAAGAGACATGCAATGTCTCTTCTGCAATAAGATAAATCTACCTGCCTGCTCAGTTTTTTAAGGAATGTACACTGATCTGTGCATCTCCATTTACATTCCGACGTAGTACCTGTGTGTGCCAGATGACTGCACTCCTGTGCATGTGAGGGGGTGATTTCATCACACGCCAGCCAATCACGATGACTGAAGACCGGCAGACAGAAGAAGACAGTTGAAAGTAAGGTAAGTATTGCTGAGTTTAGTTCTGCTTTAAGCAACCCCCATGCATGGTGTCTCCTAATATGATGTGAAAGCCTGCTTCATGCACAAAGGCTGTGAGCTACTTATTATTGCTGTTTTTTTAAAGTTGTTGTAAAGGTTTTTTACATTTATAGTCTCCTAAATGCTCACCTGAGCCTGATCTCGATCCAGATGTGCACAGTGCTACTCTTTTCCCCCCCTCTCTCACAGGAGGCAAGGCAACAGTGGGAGCCATTGGCTCTTGCTGCTGTCACTCAAATCATGATGAGGGAGCAGGGGGCAGTGCTTATCTGCACTGCATGTGTCAATAGACACACACACAGTGCAGCTCTGGATCAAGCCTGCATGAGTGCCCCCATAGCAAGTGGCCTGCTATGGGGACAATCAGAAGGCAGACGGAGCCAGGAGCTGCAGCAAGGGAGAAGAGAAGGATCCGGGCTGCTTATGCAAAACCATTGCACAGAGCAGGTAAGTATGAAGTACTTACCTTAGAAACCTTACCTTACTTTAGAAAAAAAATTAAACCTTTAAAATCACTTTAAAAAAAAAAAAATAAATATCAGGTGTAGCAGCCAAAGCTACCTATAAAAGCCTTTATTTTTTCTTCGATGTCATCTCTTGACATTCCCCAAACATACTGAAGGATTAGCAGTTCCTGACCTTCTTAAATATTAGCAGGCAGTGTATCTGGGCTGCCTTATAGATTGGTGCCGCCATGGAGAGATTAAACTTTGTCCACGACTAGAACAGGCCCAAGGTGACTTGATGCTCTGTCACCTGTGGTGGTGGTTTTGGAAGCTGGTGTCATCTTTCAGGACGCATCCTTTGGTGGGCACTACTGCTCAAATCTACCTTCAATTATTTTCTACCATGAACTTGTCATTCTGGCATTCCCCATTGTTCCCAATTTTGGGGAATCCTGGCTTTGTATCGGGTGTGCGAGATGGTGCTTTTGGCATGCAAGCGTTTTCAGGCCTCCCACTTTTTAATTGCCGGAGATTGGCCTTCTTTTTCATTTCTCACTGATCCTAGGGGAGCTTTTAGGCTGGACTCCTGGAGAGCGATGCAACTGCAGCACTACCTATGCTCTTTGCCTCCCTCCACTGCCTTCAGATGTGACCGGACTTCTTTTGAGGATGTCTGTTTGGAACAAGGCACCTTACCTCTTACGTTTTCTAAAATGCTCTTTTGATCGCGCTCCCCAGCAGATTACTGGCCTTCCTTTCTGGACAAATGGAAAGTGGACCTGAGTCATTCCTTTATCCACTCTCAGAGGATGAACGTAATTTGATTTGCATTAAAATCTTCCATATGTACAAAGTTTCAAGAAACAAATTTTAAGATTCTCACTAGATGGTACTAGAGATGAGCGAATCGAACATGACGAAGTGGAATTCGTTCCAAAGATTTGGAAAAATTCTATTCGCGACGAATCTGAAGATTAGCAAACTTAGGATGCACGAATCGAATTTTCCCAAAAATGGCGGCGACATGTGTGGCGACGGAGAAAATTGACAGAGAGAGATGGGGCGGGGATCTCTGGGAAGGCGCGCAGACAAGGCGCGCTGACCCATAATGCATTCATGACGTGATCGCATTAGCCAATCAGCAGCCAGCCAGCACTGTGTAATGGTGGAGCTATAAATCGCGGCCATCTTAGAATTCTCCATTAGCCTCCGGTCATTCAAGAGAGACAGACCTGTGTGTATTAAGGGACAGAGTTAGGGCCACAGAGACTTTAGGGCCACAGAATCGTTACTCAGGGACACAGAATCGTTACTCAGGGACACAGAATCGTTACTCAGGGACACAGAATCGTTACTTAGGGCCACAGCTATCAAAGAATCGAAAATTTAAAGTGACATACACCCTTTTTTTTTTTTGGTGGCTGTCGTGCACAGTTGGTGCTGCAGTTTGCCGATTGTGCAAAATAAACTGACTTTCTGCTTCACAACCACTATTGTACGTTCAAAGAGTTAAATCCATATACACGCCGGGGCGGTAAATATTTTTTGGGTGATTAGTGCATTCCAGTGACATAAACGTACAGTTTCTAGCCAACGGCAAGCTGCAATTCACCGATTGTGCTAAATAAACTGACTTTCTGCTTCACAACCACTATTGTACGTTCAAAGAGTTAAATCCGGTTTTATTTTTGGGGTGCTTATTGAATTAAAGAGTATGTCAGACAACACGCAGAGGAGTGGCAGAGGAGGCAATGTTTCAGGAGCGAGCAGACGTGGCAGCAGAGGAAGGGGTCGAGGCAGCACTAGTCGCAGCCAGAGGCCAGTTCTCCCGGTGTCATCCAGTGGTCGTGTCTCCACCGACAACCCTGCCATCATCGATTGGTTGACTCGGTCGTCTTCCTCTTCCCAGGTCACCTCTGACACCTACAGCCAACTGTCGGTGGGTACGTCAGACACAACCGTTAGTTGGCATGGCCCCGGGAGCAAGCCCACTGAAATCACGTGTCCTCGACCTGCCCCTGTCCTTTGGTGTTCCCTCACCAAGCGAAGTATCGCATGCTGTGGGCTCAGCCCCACTGTACAGTGAGGAAGAGCTAACAAAGAGCGGTCAGGAACGGGGGGAGACATCCGCCTCTTCAGCAGCCAGGCGAAGAAGTACTGGCAAGGAGAGTGGCTCGGTAGCCGGTCTAGAGACAGGTCTGTCTCCTGACCCACACGCAGCCTAGGGGGCTAGTAGTGACGCGGAGACCCTAATTGATGATGATGAGGCTGATCGCACTTGGCAGCCTCGTCGTCATCAGGCTATTGCTTCCGCATCATCAGGAGAAGAGGGTGCCAGCTTGCCAGCGAGCAAAACAGTCGGTGGGTTGCCCAGGAGGCAGCAGGGTCGCAGCAGTGTCAGTGGAGGCAAACGGCCACGGAGTAGAGCACCAGCTCCACTGCAGCCTACCACCACGGCCAGTAGTGGTGCCTGTGCACGGAGGAAGTAGCAGTCAGCCAGTGAGGAGTAGCGGGGGCAAAGTTTCCTACTCGGCGGTGTGGCAATTTTTCGTCAAGCCTTCCGGGAAGTAAACGTAGCCGTATGTCTACTATGTGGCCAGAAAGTCAAGCGTGGCCAGGGGGCCAATGTTGGGACTACAGCGTTGCGTCAGCATATGCAGCGTCGCCATTCGGTGGCCTGGGAAAACCGTGATAAAGATACGGCGGTTCTGCCTGCCCCAGCCCCCGCTCCATCACCCGCTCCCGCTCCGTCACCCGACGTCAATCGCCCTCTATCAGCCAGTCAAAGCTCCAACACCTCTGCTGAGGGGAGTTGTCGCTCGTTGGCATCTTCCGCTCGTTCAGATGCTCCCTCTCCTGCTACTCCTCTTCACGGATTCCGTCAGCAGTCTTTCTTGGAATCCGTTTCCAAGAGACAACAGTTTGCGAGCACGCACCCGACGGTGCAGAAGCTGAACGTCCTCCTGTCCAAGTTGCTGGTGCTGCAGTCCCTCCCTTTCCAAGTGGTGGACTCAGCACCTTTCCGAGAAATGATGGCTTGTGCCGAGCCGCGGTGGAGAGTGCCAAGCCGGCATTTCTTCGCCAAAAAGGCAGTGCCAGCCCTGCATTCACATGTAGAAGAGATGGTGGGCCAGTCTTTGAGCATGTCGGTCTCTGCCAAAGTGCACGGCA